ATAACAGCATGAAATGCAATTAAAATATTTGTGATTATAATCATAGTTGAATGTCAAGTGGCAAAACAATTAATGTCATATATAGAATAATACAGTTGTATTTGTATTCATATTAGAATTCATGAGTTAATTGGTGGATGGTGACTAGCATTGGAATCGAGAATTCGCGTTTCGTCCTATTTGTGACTCGCCATCTTGATATATACTATATATATAGGAAGAAAAAAACCCATTTAAACATTTAGGCGGCAGAAGGATTCAGCGAAGAAATATTTGCTCCTCAATTAGATTCTCATCTCTGGCTCTATTCTATGTACTATATATTTATCCATAGCATTTTTAATACAATACACAACAATTTACCAATCAAGTGGCACTGATATGTTTGTTAACAGTAATTAGTCAGTATCAACTTGTCAACGGGGTGATATTTAGCGAAGCAAATTAATACACACACTAGAGGGGTAGCAATGGTTACAACAAGTGGAGTGCTGAATGCACCACCATTTTGCAAAAATCGAAGAGTTATTCAAGAATGAGTGAGTGATCAAGTTGAAAAAGTAACAGTTAACAAAAGAAAAAGAAATTGGGACAGTGATAACTTCTAATTACAAAAAGAAGTGGACAGAAAAAATACTGAAATAATTTAGACAATTGTAAATTTTCAAAGGCTCAGTGAAAGTGGAAGTGGAACGGCTGAAACATTCATGTAACCCAAGTCATGCCGAAGTCATAGATATTGGTTGTCGAATCTATTCTGAACATGATTGCATAACTTCTTCAGGCAGATGGCTAAGCTTTCAGTTGTATATAGAAGATGAATTTGTGAATGAAATTTTTAATATTAGTAGGAATGCGATAAATAGATTGAAACGCAGTGTTAGCATGAACAGTAGGCTCAATGTATACTAAGTGTGCTAATTAAAACAAAGCCAGGAATAGGTTGCCTTATTCACTGGCTTCGCCATGCAGTGGCTGGAAAAATTATCGATAAGGAACTCATTCTCCAGTGAAATAGAGAAAGCCATCATCATGCCAGTCAGTCGATGTGTCTTCTTTCTACAACGGCGAATTTAAGCATGAGGACATGCAACAACCACACAATGTCGATCCCAGCCTCGAAGACTTATTCGACTGTCAAAGGAATGAGAAGATGGGATATGCAAGTGCTAGTAATGTGTCAGTGGGGCAAACGAAATGGAAGTGGACTATCGAATTTGTTAACTCGTCAGTCAGTAATCAACAATCCTCTGGTCACCTGGACTATAAGGACGAGCACACCGAGAGATGTCACCAACAGCCACCACTGCTCTTATGTAATGACAATCAGTCTCATCCATCAAGAGCCAAGTCAGAATGCAGAGAAGGAGGTTACAGTTGTACAGTGAAGTTGTACGAACAGTGTATATCAGGAGAAGAAGGACGAAAATCAGAACAAGTGATTCTGTGAATAGTGCCATTTCAACGAATTCTTCATCAAGCTCTCCAAACCCATATGTATGTATTTATGTATGGCTTTTAATGTTAATGTGAACTCTCACGAACATAATTGGCCATTCACTCTAAAGTGTAGTCAATGAAATGTGTGAATCTCAAGAGAGTGTAGGATGACTGTAAGATCAGTGAGCAATGAGCACATTGATCATCAAAGTGATAATTGTGATATGATAACATTGGAGAAATCATTTTGGGTCAAATAAATCCAGGTGGCAAGTGAAATAATACCGGACGTCGTTCAGAGTAAAATTATTCATGATAGTGATAACAATAGATATAATATGGGTAGGAAATACTAACCGGATAGAGGAAGAAAGCGAAGAATTATTGGCGCCAGAGAGTGGATGACAATTTTCACACTTCGTTGAGAAGAGACTCCTCACTGACTCACTTTTCTCACAGGAAGCGAGCATTTTATGGAGAACTGCTATTGGTAATAGACAAAACGCCAAATGGTGACATTGAAATCCCAATGGGTGATATGAGTACCGGCTGAACTGGGAGCAAGCAACAATGGAGGCAGAGAATGCCTGATAGGTCAACAGGTATATTCCGCCTAGACGGAGGAAAGCATATCGTGCGTCGGTGGCACAGCGGTTAGGACTCTCGCCCACCATGCTCATGGTCCGGGGTTCGAGCCCGCACCGACGCACACCTGATATCTATGGTCGGACTGCAAAATTTGGGCTACCGATATCCATGCTGAAAATTCCATAATTGTACCGAAAATACAGTGTGGAATCAAGCTGTAAATAAAAAATAAAAATAAAAAAATAAAAATAAATAATCAAGAAACGAACTAAGAGAGTATCGAGAAACCACACCACTATTGCAGAAAGTTTGGAAGGAAGCAAGGAAGCATGGAGGGAAGGAAGGCAGAAAGGCACCTTCTGATTGGAATGGGAAGTTCCTTCTCAGACTACCAGAGAAGGGTGACTCAACCACTTTTCTTTGGAACTGGTCCGGAATCATTCTCCTGTCCACCCCGAACCAATCTTAATGCGAAACATTTTGACAATCTGACTACTCGTGATCTGCTAGTGTCTTTTTTCCTTCACGTTCCCAGTGGAACACAGGGCTTCAAGCTAGTGGCTTGAAGATTCTGTAGCAGTGTTTATGTTATAGGATGGGGTTGCTAGCCTAATGCCTAACCTTCCCTCTTCACCAGTCTTATTACTGGTTTAGTGAGGTCATGGAGTGCGTCCGTGGCCGGGGATTGAACCCGGACCATATGCATGGTTGGTGAGCGACCTAACCGCTGTGCCACCGACAATCTAACCACTCGCGATCTGCTAGTTTGATTGACCTATATAGGTGAACTAACTCACAGTCTTTGCACGGTATTTTGTAAATTATATTGTTTTGTCTAATTGAATCAACTGACAGTGTCCATTAAGCTACAGAGCTTATCCTACCGTAGTGAGTTTGCAAGTTTAAATGCCACTCTAACTACTGCTTCTTTAAGAATCTCACGTAGGGTTTCAGATGTCCCCTCCTTATATGGTATAACAGTAGAAGCTTTATATTCTCCCGGTTATTTTTATTTTGCTTTTGGCCTTTTCTGGTCTTCCTAATGAATTTTATACGATGGTTATTTGGTACCAACCAGCTATTCTTCTTTTAGTTTCAATTCATCATATAGGTTTCATTGTTGTTCTAATTAGGGATGTCGTCGCTCGGTTTCTTAGACTCTCAACTAAAACCGCCTACACAGATATCGTATGAGATGAAACGAAGTCGAAATATCTATTAGAATGCGTTGGTTATTTATTAACGCCAGTGTGCAGTTGACCTTCTTCCGTCCGTTTCATTTTCGAATCTACTATAGCCAATTGTCCTTGTTCATTTTCCCATTCCAATGTGAATTTTATTCCATTTACTAGTGAATTTATATGTGTGAAGAAGCTAGAGACATGTTCTGTGTCTTAACACTGTGAAAGTGTCAGCCACATATTCCAGCCATATATTTAGTGCAGGATTATATGTATCAGGAGCCAAATTTTCCCAGCTATCTATATGTTTGTTTATATATCTTGCCTTGGAATTGAAAGATGGTAGACGGTATCATGCTGGATTAAGGATGAAATCTCAACCCTACACAACATCATCGAACACAGCATAGAATGACAGTGAAATCTCTAACTGAACTTCAAACACTCTGATAGGGTGTTAGGTAAGGTGGACCGTGAGGTGGTCTGAAACCTCCTCAACACTGAAGAGTGCAGCGACTCAAACGTCATTCGCCAGCAACATGACGACGTTCCATGTCAAGTCACTTACACAGGAAAGCTCAACGAAGCCGTTGAAGTGAGATCAGGATGGAATAATACACAACTGTCTATTATGAGTGTTGCCATTTCTGATCGTGGTCGACTGGACCATGCCACAGACCGTAAGTGGGAAGCGAGAAGACTGAAACACGTTGGGTGGGAAAGAAGCCTCCAGACGACTAGGACCTCACCGATGATTTACGTCTAGTGTCACATAAACTTGTAAGTGTTGTAGTAGGGACATTCTGATTCGCTGAAATGCATGAATATCTGACAGTGGAGTACTGAATAGCATCAAACCTTCATCCCATATTCCACTGCTAACCATCAATGAACAAATGACACCAATGAAATAAACTATACTCCTATGAAATAGCCTGTGATCATTTCTCATCATCATCATCATCATCATTCCCGTGCTACCTGAACAACCGTGTGTCATTCATCACCAATCAATCAGTTTACATCTGCATATTTTGTTAGTAGGAGTTCATTTATCATCGCTCATTTCCACTTTCTTCCTTATGACAACAGGCCACCAGCTTGAGGAATTCTACGCATCACCCACCGTACCATATTATATAAAACGTTTAGCTTGTGAGCAGTGAAATGTATGTGTAGAGGACAAAGCTCTAGAATACGAGATTTGAAAAGGTGAATACAAACTGAAATGTTGAATCAAGATTTGCACTCTTCCACAAATCACGATAGGAATGTGACCTGAAATGACTTTGTCACAAAATAAAAAGTGAACAAATAGCTTTCCAACGAGAATCGGATAACTGTAATCAATGGGAGTGGTGGCTGGTATACACAATCACATCACAGAGTTTCACTTCACCTTGAAGCTTGTTATAGGGGCTTGTTCTCTGTTTCAGTAGGCACACTAAAATAACACCTAGTTAAACGTGAATACTCAGTAACATGTCGAATCAAGATTTGTACTTTTGCATAGAATGAAGATAAAGCTTACCTGACTATAGATATGCTAAACACAGAAGGCTCAGTTTCTCTGAGAAAAATATTTTTCACATAAACACCATGATGAAAGGAATCTATTGATTAGTAACAATTAGAAGTCACTCACTGCATCACCTTAACTTGACCGATACATTTTGTTCAATCTAAGGTGAATTTGTAATCTTCTTCCAACCGTTGTCGAGTATATAAGCGCCAAACCGTCTTCACGTTACTAGCTAGATTGAGAAAGTGAGAAAATGCAGGCAGCTGTGGGAAATCTATTCATCTGCTCTCTGGTATGTTCTCTAATTATCTTCGACGATATTTTGATCGATGTTTGTGTTTGCTACCGTAGATGACAGCACTTCTGTTGTGTCGCCTGAGTGAATGTAAGCCAGCTGGAAGCCATGAGAACTGTAACATTCAAAGGGAATATGAAAAGTGTGTTGCTGAAGCTAAGGATGACATACATAATCGTGAGTCCAGTATATTTAATTTCGAAATCATAGTGATGCGTAGTGATATTTTGAATAAATTTGTGCATATATTTGTGTAGAGAGTGAAGATTGCAGATGGCAAGGGGATGTGAAACTGTGCAGGAGTTAGTGTTGGTGTGTTTTCCCCTAATCGTATTTTACCATCTGCTCGAATCTTGTGTGATTATCACCTTCCATGATTATTTGTGTCTTGTTTGATTCATTCTGTTGATCTCCTTTCCACCTCACCTGCAGTTGCATTATTGAACGCAAACGCGACATTAGATTAATATGACTATTATCATTATTATTATTATTGTTATTATCACCATCACAGGAATGAACACATCAGTCAACTAAGCCTGTGTGATCAGGAAGGACATGACGAGCTGATATCATTACCGCTGTCAGTACAAGTCCGGGTAAATTTAGCAATGAACAGTCATTTGTCAATGTTGCTCATTATTAATACTTCTCGAAGGTGATGATTTGATTAGTAATATGCATATTACAACCAGTTAGAATCATTCATCTCTCCTAAAATGTAGTCACTGTATTTTGCTGTTTACTTCCACAGTGATTCCGGACTTCGATGTGTCCTCTTTGAAGAATGGTGTAAATTCGGACAACAATGGTTTCGAGAAGGAATGCCTGAAACACAAAGCTTGCTCAACGAAAATATTCTTGTGTTTCTTCGGTGAGCTAGTTAAACCTGAGTGGGCAGATTGCTTGAGTCAAAAGAAATTACAAGTGATAAAGAAGGCCTATGAGAATTTGAAAAGTGAGCAAAACACACCAATGGAATTGGATCTGGGAACATTTTAGACTTTCCACGAATTCAAATAATATCCAGTTGTCTAGCCTTAAATTCTGCGTATATCTTCAATATCTCTAACTCTCTCGCTCTCTCTCTCTCTCTCCCTGAATATCTTTCATTTACATACCTGCACGTAGAATGTGTTGACACATTAATGTGAGTGCACAACTGGACATATTCCCTTCTGATTTTCTTATCTACAGAAGAGATTTGATGATGTGGGAATGAGTCATTTCTAGTACTTCCACCTACTTGTTGTTCTGTATACCTGATTTTCAGCCATCCCTCCTGCATCCTCCATATTTCTACGTACTTATTACTCTTCAGTGTGTATTTCAGTTTTGTTTATTTATTGTGAAATACAGTCAACGATATCATATTGTTTTCTATTCTCACGTCAATTGGTTTTTAGTAATAAGTGTTGAATTTCACTGTCAGTGTTTTGGGAATGGTGTAAATATCATTCGATTGTTGAGTATTTCTTGTTTGTCATGCGACTGAAACGTAGTCTTTGTAAACCGAAATCTCTGTCATAAGGCATATTCTGGAATATTTTGCTGTAGTACATTCCGATGATGTTTGTATTATGGAGGATATTTTTTCACGGAATCAGACGATATCACTAGGCTATCCACAGTGCATACAGCATGTTCCTCACCGTAGTTTTGTCTAATTATTTATGTTTAGAACAACACATTTAAGCGAACAATATTGTTTTCAATTAGATCTCAGCAGGCTTAACTCTAATATATACAGGGTTTACAAATAAAAATTCAAATATAAACCAATCATGGTGTTTTGTCTATGTGATAATAAGAAGGTGAATATCAATTTTGCAATTGGTCATAATAATAGTAATGATGATAATAATAATAGTAATAATAATAATAATAATAATGGTCTTATCAATAATAATGATGAAAAAGTGAGGCAATCTCTGGTAACACGAATAATGAAAAACAGTATGATTAAACAAACAAATGTTCAGGTGGAAGTAGTCGATAAAGGGTAGTAAAAACAAATGAACCGATTATGTAATATTAGATTGTAAGGGAAGGAAATGAGACACGTTTATAATAAAGATGTGATAGGATTAAGGGATGATAGGAGAGGGCTTGAAAATATAAACAAGATGTGGTGTTGAAGTCATTATTTGGTTTCGCCTTAATAGCCCGAGGCAGGGAAAATGGGTTTACGAACTTCTTTTGAATGCATAGTTTAGGTTTAATAGTTCGAATGCCTATTGCCTCAGCTGTGTGCGGTAGACGAATACGAAGTCTATCAGAAAGATTCGGTGGGATACGATGAATTACTTTGAAGGCTCTCGTTTTCTCGACCACGTGACCGCTAGCAATTAAATGTGTCAGAATTGAGCTACGGATTGTTTTTTCTGTCCTTTGCCAAACCACGATGGGAGATGTTCACTGACACGTTGGGTAAGCTGTCCAGTAGTACGTGCAACATAACTGTCGCCACAGGTGCAGTTGAATTGATAAATGCACATAGATGTGGCAAATCTATCTAGCTTATCCTTCGTTTGCGTCCCTATCATTCGTCGGCTAGAGAATGACAAACATAGGTGTGCTGCGTAAAATGTTCTTCGTATACTCCTTGAAATTCTTTGGAATAGAATCTCACTCGATAAGTCACCATTAAATTGTAACTTAATAAATAGAGGTTTCTAACATGCAGTCAGTGTCTCAGGTTTATTCTCTGATGTTTTCATATGTTTCTTTATAAAACTACTCGGATAGCCCATCTCCGTCAAGGAATCGTGAATATATTCAAATTCCTTTTGTAAGAGGTCATCCGTACATATCTTTCTTGCTCTGCTCGCGAGACATTTCACAACATTCCTTTTGTATTTAATGGACGCCTAACCAAAGAAATGTGTGTATTGATTGCCCTGTGAATGTGCTTTTTCTGTACACTCTTCTCCCCAGTGACCCATCTTCTCTCCTACTTAGCGAGACATCCAGGAAATGTAGTTAATTCTCCTGCTCCTCTTCACAAGTAAAGGTAAGCGAAGGGTGGATTTCAGCAACAATTCGTCTATGTCAACATTCCCATCAGCTAAGATAAGTGTATCATCGACATATCGGTAATACATATCAAACTCCTTGATGATGTCCTTCGATTTCCCGTTTTCAAGTTTTGCGAGAAAGAAGTCAGGTAATATTGGGCCTAATGGTGAACCCATGGCTACTCCATCTACTTGTCGATAGTATGAATTATTGAAGACAACGTGAACATTCATTGTGCATTTAAGAAGTAATTCTTTGAGGCTACACAAAGGGATTGCTAAGTCTAATTGCCTTTCGGTGATTTCTTGACAAATATAATCTACTGTTTCCATAAGCGGTACGTTAGTGAATAGTGATGATACGTCCATGGATAACATGCGTTTATACCTGATATCAGTCTCGGATATTTTAGAAATAAAGTCGAAGACATCACTAATTCTATGTTGCACGATTTCTCTGTGCAAAGGACCCAGAATCTTAACTAACCACTTCGCTGTTCCGTGAAATGGAGAGTTATACATATCTAAAACAGAGCGAAGATGAAGACCCGGTTTGTGCACTTTTGGTAGACCGTAAATACGTGGAGTATTGGTACCCGTTGGTTCCATGGACTCATACGTGGTTGATGATAATACTCTTATTTGGTTTAGTTTTTTGAGGGAGTCTAATTATTTGTTTCAGACGGTTGGTAAGTCCGTACACTCCACACATCCGAACACAATGCCTCATTACTTTTGTCTTGTTCGATGTTGTAAAACTACGGAAAAGTCTGAGTTTGTGTCTTTCAAGTGAGTTACCAACCAGATTTTATAATCTAGGGTGGTGTGATTTCGGGATAGTCTTGTCCAGACAGTCTCATTCGAATCAAATTTATGGTGTTGACGCACGATTCACAAATGAATATTTGTCACTGTGTGAACCAGAGTTACACACTTCACGTTTCAGTGGAGATAGTTTGTGAATGATGAATTGGGGTGTTATCGCCAGATGATATGACACAGTAATTTGCATCTGCGTGCATGTTGGTATAAACCAATGACTGATAGTAGTCTTTGCCTGTCTACCATATCGACGAGCAGTGTTTGTTCCAGTGAGATCTCATGTGATATCTAGAAATTGTCTTCTGCATTCTCTGGCTTTAGCACTAGCTCAGTTGGCATCTATGCATATGAATTTTGGTTATTTTCAAGGTTGTTCACTGAACTGTGTGCCGTGGAGTTCTGCGGTATTTGCATTTTAATTATGCGGAGGAATTTATTTTGATGACGTCTCACAGTCTTATGCAGTATTACTTACTGATGACGTTTCTGGTACAATTCATTCCTCATCTCCCTCCTAATCATATCAAATCTGTACCATTCGCATGATAGTATATACTGAAGATTGATAGGAGTTTTCGGATTCTTCTCAGGTCAGCCAACAGTCAGCCGACAACGTGTGCTTCAGTGTGATTTGTTTTTTAACTGAGGTGGTCGACTAAGCATTCTCCAGCTTTAGGACTAGTTGAAGTGGCTTTCACAGTAATGAGAAGCAAGCAAACACACTGAGGAATAATAAATGGATGAGAAGTTTTCCATATAGACACGTACTTCTGAAAATTCTCCGTCACAAGAGCCTTGTGAGTGAACAAATCTTGGTGTGTATCGTTGGTGAAAACACTTTCCGAGAAATGCATCATTTAGCATCGAGCATCCTTCATTCAGGTAGCTCAGTTTCCAACGATTATCCGACTAACTGTTCATCGACCGATAGAAATCAATCCGACTGTTTTATTTTCATAAGACAAAGGTATATCATTCAGGATAATCATTATAGCTGCTGTGTATGTCAAGTGAGTTTCATTGTCAGTCCCGATCCTTCATTCATCTGATCTTTGTATATCATTTATTCTGTAAGTCAGATTCCAACAGTTTTATCTTGATTGAGCTGTGTCTACCAAATCGATTCATTGAATTTGTTCACCTCAGTAATGTCTGTTTGACATATCTGCGATTGGTGGGTCTTGGTTTTTTGCATCGAAATGTCGACTTGGATTAAATGTTAATACTTTCAATGAGAGACGTGGTTTGAAGGTTAGATATTCACTTCATCGAGTATGAGGACTCTCTTGTGTGTATTGGTCAGTTAGTGGTCTTCACAAATGAGGCGTGCGTGATATGCACGCCAGCACTTCTTTATTTATCAGGCTTATGTCTCCTATGTGTTTCATTAGTAGGTGTCGGAAGGGTCGATTTGTAATTAGTGTGTGATTTCTTATGTCCTATCATTGTTAAAGCCACTTCTGAAGCCTTGGACATTTTAACCACATCGAATGCAGTGAATAGGAAGCATGGGATAGACTTATCACCTATATGGCAAACTCTTATGAAACAAGATAGATGAAAAAACAACAAACACACTATGAGCCTTTTAAAACATGTAGTATCACGAATTTTCCATATGGCACAGAACATACACACACACTCATACAAAACTAATCTTTACAATTACAACAATAAGTCCCTTTAATAAATTTGAATAAGGCATTAATTAAGAAGACAAATTTCGTCGCGAGATGATGTCATTTCGTAGTTTTCTTACAACCGCTTTACAACTAACATGGTTAACAATAATAAAATTAAGCTCATGGCAATTACTCAGTTAAATAAAAACAAAAGGACGTACTAATGACCAATCATATTTAGATAGGTTATGTAGTCCATGGTAGGCGAAGATTGAAGTCTATTGATTTTTGTACACACAGTTTAGGCTGTATGGGATTAATCCTCCAAAGTGCTTCCATCACCTATAGTCACCAACCTTGAATTAGATTAATGTGAAATAATTGTGAAACAGTCATAAATATTGATTGATTTTGCGACCTGACATTAATAAGTGTTTTGCAATGGATGCTGCTGTGTAATCTACTTCAGACTATATCTACAAGTTCACCTGCAGTTACTGTGGCACCTATATAGTTAGAACAAACAGAATGTTCCATTGTCGTCGAAAAGAACGTGCTCCAAAATGGCTACTAAATCATACAGAAAATCCCAATGCGAGTAATCTGAATAGAAATCCAGCTTCATCCACTGTAAAACACTTATTAATGTCAGGTCACAAAATCAATCAGTATTTATGACTGTTTCACAGTTATTTCACATAACTCTGATTCAAGGTTGGTGATTAAAGGTGATGGAAGCACTTTGGGGGATTGATCACATACAGCCTAAACTGTGTGTACAAAAAACGATAGACTTCAATCTTCGCCTACCATGGACTAATAATTTTTTAAAAAAATTATTATTCATCTACCATGGACTACATAACCTATCTAAATATGATTGGTCAATAGTATGTACTTTTGTTTTTATTTAACTGAGTAATTGTCATGATCTTTATTTTATTATTGTTAACCATGTTAGTTGTAAAGCGGTTGCAAAGAAACTACGAAATGATGTCATCATCTCGCGAAATTTGTAATCTTTACAAATCAACTATAGAAGAATGAACACAACAACAATTTGACATTAGTCATTACAAATATATATGATGACTGCTCACATATTTCTACTGGTAAAAAATGTCCATGGACAAATCATCTTCAAATAAACTGACTTCACTTTATGTAAAAAAATTTGGTTATATACTTTGATGAATAGTAAAATTCCGAATAAATCTGCTGAAGAATCTGTGGCTTATACAGCGAAACGTTCAGAAAACAGATCTTGTTTTGATTTTCTTAACACGCTGGGACTAATTTAAATACTTTATAATGGACACTTCACCTGGTGTTAAAGTGAGATAATGCCGAATCGACCACTTGAACTTTAAATGAAATCGCACTGACGCAAACGGTGCTGGTCGTCAATAAAGGAATCTGAGTACTCCTATCAATCAAGAGTATATATACGATCATGCGAATGGTGTCAAATGTGAAATGATTATAAGCGATAAATCGCCCTCGAAACGTCACTAGTAAATATTACTATATAACACTGTGAGACTTCCTCACAATAAATTTGATCAATAATGGAATGTATATTGGTGTACATTTTTTGTCTCACGTAATCTAGTGAACACACTTGAAGATGATATCAGTGTGAAGAAATGATCAGCCATGTTGTTCATCGTTCATCGATCATATATTCCTAAACGAGAACTGCATAGCTCTGGTGCATGAAGAGACAGATATTCACACGTGAAGAAGTTCAGATTTCGATTTTGATTTTTGATTTACAGCTTGATACAACACTGTAATTTAGGTACAAGTATGGAATTTTCAGCATGGATTTCGGTAGCCCAAATTTGGCAGGCCGACCATAGATATCAGGTGTGCGTCAGGGCGGGCTCGAACCCCGCACCATGTGCATGGTCGGCGAGAGTCCTAACCACTGTGCCACCGATACACATAACATAATATCGTCTTCATTCAAATGAGGTTATCTAATCAAACGTGATCTGAAATCGCACTCTCGATGAGCATATGTGTGATAGTAAATATACCATAGCTTGAGTTAGTCTTTCAAGGATGTCACGGTCATTTCTGTTTCACACATTAGACGTTTTGAGTGTATGTCAAACAATAATAAATACTTGTGAATTGAATGATATTGCTATCATAACTAATGCACTGGTAGCGATGCCATCACGTATTACTATGAGATGATAGCCAACTGGATAGAAGACGATATCATAGCATTATCTATATTTCAATTTACAGAAAGTGAAGTGGAATACACATGAGAGAGCAATAAGTGATCAGGAAAAGAACTAAGTGTAGAAGATGCAGCATACACAGAAGGTCAAGTATTTTTTAATTGTTAGAACCATCAACAACATAACAACACAGTTAGCTGAAAATACTAAATATGACTCATTTCCACATCATCCAATCACTTGTGTAGATACGGAAATCAGTAGTTTGTCAAGGCAATAGGTCAAGTTGTACACTCACATTATTGTGTCAACACATTCTACGTACATGTGTGTGAATGAAAGATATTGAGAGAGATGCATTGAAGATATATGAAGACCTTAACGGTGGATGATGCCGTCCTATTTGAGTGGAAACATATTCTGAAATGTTTCCAGATCAAATTTCTCCGGTGTGTGTCGTATGCTATCCAAATATTTGTACGCAGCCATGGCTTGTTGTTTTGTCTTATCATCGAGACAGTGTTGCCATTCGGGTTGAAGTACGTGACCAATGCAATTCAATAAAATTCTCACTGCGCAGTTGTTGTAACTTAAGCACACTGCAGTAAATACTTGAGTGTCTAAGTCAACGGCATATCTGAGAGAGGACACATCCAATTCGGCACTACCTGAAGAAAGAATAAGAGAGGGGAACAATTCTAACTGATTTAAAATGTATATTACTCAAATCATCACCTCACGAAGTAAAATTATCACTTTAAAGTTATGCATGGCAACACTGGGAGACGAAGTCGTGTTGTTTAATTCGTATAAATAGATGTTTGGAGAGAGATGATATCAGTCTGTGTTGTTACAGTATCAAGGTTTGTTTGGTACGAACCGGTTAAAATTACCGATTAAAAATTACTTTCAAATTTCTGGTGTGTTGATGATGATAGTAATAAACTGGACTTACCTTTGACCGATGATAAGAGTACACCGTGTGAAGTAGAAGTCAAGTAGAGAAATCGACATATAACTTATCGAAGCTGTATGTAAGATGAGAATTGGAGAATTCGTTAGATGACTTTTAGGCGAGTACATAACTAAACTGATATTACAACGCACACACACACTAGTGTAGATTAGAGAACAAATTCACCACGTGAAGAAAACATTTCGAAATTATATTGGTTCATTGATATGAAAAACTGCTTGTGATTCTGGTTGACAGCCAGTGTATGTTTGTGGATTGATTCGAACAGGAGCGTAATGTCTAAGTTGGCCAGTATTATCTGTTGACGTTTGTTGTCATCTACGCCAGAAACGATGACGGATAGGCCCTAGTAGGTTCTGTATGTATTCAAACATACATATACATGAATTCGAACACGGACATTAAGGTAATATACACACACGCTTGAGCACCATCTATAATGATAACCTACTTAGCAGCTGTGTTTCATAGCTCAGCGGTCATAGCGATCCTCTGCTAAACCAAACCACTGGATACAGGTTTGATCCCCTGCAGAGATCCATATCCCCTTTTTTATCTCCAGTCATCACTCCTTACACTAACATATTCAACATATTCAAAGTGTTATTTTGAACCACTCTAACTTTGATAAAATACATTGGACTCACGATTGAAGGTCTCACGTTTTGTTAGATTCACACAGACTTCAAATTCTTTTGAGAGATCGCAGCTCATAGAAATTCCAGTAGGTGTGCATTCGTTAAAATGACACAAGAGAACTGCTGTCATCTACGGTAGCAAATACAATTCAAGACAATTACAGAACATACCAGAGAGCAGATGAATATATTTACCACAGCTCCGTTCATTTTCTCCGTTTCTAAATGAAGCCAGTCGCGTAATGATAGTTTCACGTTTATATACCTGCGAACGTCATGAAACGTGAGTATATATGCCTATGTGTGATGAAATTAAGTGGGTCAAGTCGGGATTTATATCTGCTGATTTCGTGAATTATTTATTTGATGAGTACTTATTGACAGGTAAGCTTACTGCTCATTAAATGGATGATAATAGATTTCGATTCCACATGATGCTTTTTGTGCACGCGTAGAATTATCCGTCATTCAACAGCTTTGACATGGACACATACAGTTTACTATTTAATAGATAAACATTCTACACGATGCAATGGTGAAAATTGTCGTGCTTGTGGTCTGTGATAAAGTAGCAAGTGCAGATGAACTACAAATGGATTCGTTCTAACGAAATATGTAGAGGTAAACTGATGGGTGGGTTGTTTATGTATCACAGAATGATGATGACAATTGATCACAGGCTGTTTCATTCGAGCACAGTTCATTTCATAGATGTCGTTTGTTCGATGTTGGTTAGCAGTGGAATATATGATGAACGTTTTATCCTATCCATTACTCGATGGACGCCTTTGCATTTCAGTATTTTATAGTGTCGCTATTGAAGCGATTAACAAGCTGGCGTCATCCACGGCGTGAGGTGTGGTCTCCCGATATAATCAGCTATGACAGTCATATCTCGCATTACAACTATCATCTTTATTCACTGAAGTTTACTCAGATAACTTTCTTTGGCTTCTAGAATTCATATGATACATTCCTCTCAGAGGAAGTTGATAATAATGCATAAAGCTTCATCTATATTTCACTGAATACATACTATTCCAATTATAATTGACGAAAACTTTACTATCGTTTGCATCACGTCTTTGATCTCCTTTAACTTGTCCTTCAGTTTTACTCAGCATTGACGAGTCATTTGTTGGAGAGAAATCTTCGTCAGGAAGCATGAAGAGATATCTCATCGAAGACCGTCACTCGTTGACATTCGACTTCTTCCGACATTCATGTCTCGGATAGAATGAAACACGCATCCTCGATTCCACCGCTTGTAATAATATTGGTCAACGCGAAGTACACAATTACTTCAGTAGTTTGTTGCCCCTTAGTTCTACCATCAGAAGGGGAACAGGAATGTAGGTGTAATGAAAAGGGAAGTGACAAATATTGAGTTTGACAGAGGAATCTAAGGAGGAAAGTGTTGAGTGTGTTAGCCTACACTTTCAGTAAAACAGTGAGTACTTAATGAATGTCAACTTCTGATGACATGATCAGAAATTTTGACTGTAAATTTTGTTTATAAAGCAAATCAAACCAACTACGTTTACACATATTTCAACGACAGGAGGCAGGATGCGGAAGCTTAGGTGTATTTTCAAGTGATAAAACTGCTGTAAATATATATAGATATATTGTCTACCCAATCATTGAGCGTTTGATTTCGGCCTGCATTAAACGAAATGGAATAGCATGTTCAAATAAATATTATTATTTCGTAGTCTCTTTACAACCGCTTTACAACTAACATGGTTAACAATAATAAAATAAAGCTGATGGCAATTACTCAGTTAAATAAAAACAAAAGTACGTACTAATGACCAATCATGTTTAAAAGGTCATGTAGTCCATGGTAGCCGAAGACTTCGGGCAGCTATCAAATGCACATTCTGCGCCACCATATCTCTTTTTCTCACTTGCCGAAAATTTTCGATCCCTGCACCTAACTATGATTAAAGGACGAAATTCTGTGGACTCCACTTCAAACTGTATCTACAAGTTCACCTGCTCCAGCTGCGGTGACACCTATATACGTAGAACCAACAAAATGTTCCATTGTCGTCGAAAAGAACATGTTCCAAAATGGCTATTCAATCATATCGAAAATCCTAACGCGATTAACCTGAATAGAAAACCAGCATCATCATCCACTACAAAACACTTATTAATGTCAGGTCACAAAATCAATCAATATTTATGACTGTTTCACAATTATTTCACATTAATCTAATTCAAGGTTGGTGACTATAGGTGATGGAAGCACTTTGGAGGATTAATCCCATACAGCCTAAACTGTGTGTACAAAAATCAATAGACTTCAATCTTCGCCTACCATGGACTACATAACCTATCTAAATATGATTGGTCATTAGTACGTCCTTTTGTTTTTATTTAACTGAGTAATTGCCATGAGCTTAATTTTATTATTGTTAACCATGTTAGTTGTAAAGCGGTTGTAAGAAAACTACGAAATGACATCAGCTCGCGAAATTCGTCTTCTTAATGCCTTATTCAAATTTATCAAAGGGACTAATCGTTTTAAATATTATTATGTTGTTACGGAGTATTTAATTATGGGAATAACATTCTGACTGGTTAACTACCTTCCAGTGCACAACTTGCAATTGGATTTCAACTAGGTATCTTGGATCTCTTGAAGGAAACACCGCAGATATCGCTTAGTGGCATTGATTGTGCTTCAGCTCAAAGACAACTGTGTCACAGAATACACCGTCAATCAATATTTTACTTGAGGATATTGTACGAAGGCAAGTTATCATGCAATCGACTCCTCCGAAAATTCTGAACACTCTATAAATACTGTCCGAAACAAAGATACTGTGATAATATTCCACTGCCAAGTTAACCAGTAACATCATGGAAACTCACAACTCTATTTCAAAAATTAAACTCATCATTAAGTTTCCATGAGGCGGATACTCTCACTTGCACAGTCATTAAACCGGAATTTGAGAAATCCCAGTCCAAAGTTTATAGCTAACTTAATCGTCATTCTTCTGCATGAGGTAACTTTTATGTCGTCGTTGTCAAGTTGGCCGGTGCGTAAATATGACAAATCCTCATGCAGGTTGTTGGATTCGACAAGTATATATATATATATATCTTATAAAAGCAGCGTATGTTTGCATCATATACACTTTCATCGGGTAAGGTGTTGCAGCTCGGTGAAATTCCTTTTCAGTCCATCATTCCTATTCAGATAATTTCAATTTCATTTGATATGAAGTGTTTCTGATATTAGACATTCTTTGTGATTTCTGGAGTATTTCTGGATAATGATTTCAATGTCAAAATCAATTTTCTGACCTGATTCTATCGCATGCAGACTGATGTAGGCTGATGGTTTTTCAAGCTTTTCTAGTTCAACTGGATTTCTGAGTGGTCGAACAGGCGCTCTACGGAGTTCATTTCTTCGTTCGTTTCTTGATTACGAGATTCTCTCCTCCCTCTAGGCGGAATATACCTGTGTTTTGCATTATCCGTTTCGGAAACCTTGTCTTCTGACCGCGTGAACTATATCGCACAATTATTTTCACATTATATCCATTTGTTTCGAACTACAGCCAAATATTCAGAGTCAACATATGTAGCAACATCTTACTCACTCGTTCACTAAAGCAGGACTTATTGGCCTGTGACGTTGTTGATGTGAAGCCGAGGTCTCTCTAAACTGCCGTTTATATGTTCAGCTTCAGTCGTGTGCTGAATTTCAATTGTGAACTCTGGCTATCTCCAGCTACTCTACAGCCTCAAAACTTCACCCTGTGAGTTCCTTATACTCAACAGTGGTGCTCTCGTTCATTTCCCCGAGATCTTGCTGACCTGTCAGGCATTCTCTGCCTCCATTGTTGCTTAATCCCAGTTCAGACGGTACTCATATCACCCATTGGGATTTCAATATCACCATTTGGCGTTTTGTCCCGTACCGATAGCAGTTCTCCACACAATTCTCGCTTCTTGTGAGAAAAGTGATTCAGTGAGGAGTCTCTTCTCAACGAAGTGTGATAATACCTATTCACACTCTGGCGCCAATAATTCT